TATATCAGACACAGATGTAGGATATAGAGCTCCTGGCAGAGGTAGGGTCCATCACATTTAATTATTGATAGAAAATTACTTTGCAACATGCAGGAGTTTATCGAGGTTCTAGCACTTTTCCTGGGTTTTGGGGGCTGGATACTGACTTACGTTTCACTGGAGAATCATTATTGGAAAGAATCGACGCAAGATGGGAGCGTAATTTTAACCTCTGCTATTTATGAGAACCTCTGGATGTCTTGTGCAAGTGATTCTACGGGGGTCTACAACTGTCGGGATTTTCCATCCCTCCTTGCCCTTCCAGGTAAGTGAAGGAATTGACTAAAAGATTGATCTCTGCAAAAATTAAAGGGTATATCTGGGAGAATTTGCAAACATGAATTTTGCAATGCACACTGTTAAATGACTTCATTAAGATAGAATAATCTTAGCTTACATCAGTATTTTGCCAACTGTAATATTTGCTCTCTTTTTATTCTAAAGATTCAGCAGAATCAAAATAGCTGACTGAGCATTTTCCATCCAAGTGTCAATGCAGAGAAAAGGCTGGTTTCTATTCTCATGGAACCCTTTTTTTTCTTCTAATAAAACAAATCGCTGTAAATTATGCTCCTAATTTTCTTTTTACTCAAACTAAACATTAATATTTTACTGCATGCATCTGTAATATTAAACAGTAATGGGAGATTCAACCAGTTACCTCTTCAAACTCTAAAATTATTTAAGTCTATTTTGAGATTTTGGTGCAAATCTAAAAAAAATAAAATAAACTAATTATTTGTCTGATTTTTAATTGATTTTATAGGTGTGTGCAGAGTTTAAAGTCCTGTAGTTTGGTGGAACCATTACTACTGGTATTATAGAGAGAGGTGAATGTAATAAGCCATTGAAGCATGATGTAGCATATTTGATTTTTGAGTTTTTGATACATTACTGTGGCATTTCTTTTTCTTGAAAATATTTAACCATCCTACCAGATACATGTAGTAAAAAGAAAATGCATAATAAAATGCACAGTAATGCTTAATCTATCACAAATTATATAGATTAAAGCTCCTATAAATTAGTAAATATTATTTGTTATTTGTCGGAATGCGCAGTAAAGCCTAAAAATATGAATACCCTGAGAAATTATTACTTGATTTAGGTTTTTCAAAATTAAACTGTAATTTTTCACTGTCTCTAAATATTTTTCTTGGACTTTGTGAGATCTAGAAAACATTGAGTAGAGGATATCAGCCCAGGTTAGCCTTTAATTTTTAGAGATATTCATTGAGCAGCCATAAAAAAGGACTGAGATCAAACAGTTATAGTCCAGATGAATGACTTTAAGCCCTCAAGAAGAGTGTAAAATGGTTATGGCAGGTTTTACTGCACTGGTCTAGCTAAACGGTTCTCTACAGGAAATGTCGTTAAAGAAAAAGGAAGTTAATATTTCTTTCAAGCTTTGATGATTTATTTCTGGATGCTAGGCAAGCAAATGCCCCCCCTCCTTTCCATCAAACTTGGTAATCCCTGGGTCAATATTTAATTACCAACCCCCACCTCTAGGGGCTGCACGGTGTCCCATGATGCTTTCCCAATCGGAGTTTTAAGGACTTGGAGCTTGACTTGAATCTCATCAAGAATTTATTTAATATTGTTGACATAGTGTTCAAAGCAAATGGCCATAGGTGATACATAGTGTTAGGTCTATAGACTTTGGTGAAGAGGTTTGAAAGGCTTAGGCTCTTTGTAGTTCCCCAAGTTAGGTAAACAGTTAGCCTTTCAAAAGTTTCAATAGAAAGTTGAATAATAGGGAAAATTATAAGTGAGGTACATGGAATTAATCACTCATTTGAAGGGTTTTGTAGCACCTTAGCGCAAGGTTTGCCGGGAACTGGTTTGTGGAGCTGTGGCAAACAGACCCTTAGGCATCAAGAGAGCTTCGCCGGTTTAATTTATTAATTCGTCTTCCTCTGAGCGGATCATTTCAAGACAAGCCAGAAAAAAGAAAGAGGACAAAATGAATCCAATGGTGGAAGCTTTTGCTGCCTTTTTGGGCTTTTTGGGTTGGATCATGGTTGGTGTGGCCCTTCCGAATCGATACTGGAGGGAGTCTAGTGTGGACGGTAATGTTATCACCACCTCGACCATCTACGAAAACCTGTGGATGTCCTGTGCAACTGATTCTACCGGGGTTCACAACTGCCGAGACTTCCCATCTTTACTCGCTCTTAATGGTATGTGGTCCTCACAAAACCGCGTTGATAATCCACAGTTAATCTGATCAGAAATCCTGAGATTGAAGAAGGCTGACTAATCGAACCATCATGTAAGAAAAGACAAAAATTAAAAGTCACAAGAGACTATGGCCATAAGTCTTAGAAAGTAAGAATAGATTACAGTCTTGTTCAATTTAACTTTATCTAGATACGAGCATGGAGCATTTTTGAGCCAGAAGCCTTGTATTATAGTGGCTATAGCATGTTGTAAACACATAAAATATCAGATATGATCAAGTGAAGGAACAAAGGAAAGAGTGCCGCACTAATTACAGCAGCAAACAAGAGGAAAAAAATGTCATAGAAGTTTTAAACTCTTTCGAAGAGATTCATTCAGTCATAAACGAACTCGGCAGACTGGCTGAACTTGTCTCCCAAAACAACATAATATGACATAGTTTAAGAAGTCATAAAAGGATAAAAACATTGTTTGCTGTGTTTTTTGTTCACACGGTTTTACACAGTAAGAAGATATAATAAAAAAAAAAATGTGCACCGATATTATGACAGCATAACGATGACTTGTTATTTTCTTTGTTCATCACACATCTAAGAGGGACTTTTATTTAGTGGTGAAAGCATAAATTAACTTTGAATTTTAATAAGCCTTGTTTTGCTGTTACAAAGCTGAGGAAACAAACGCACTGGTCTCAAGACTATTGACAAAACTTGTGCAACAGTGAATAGTGTGGCTGAAACCACACCTATGTTTCCCCATAAACCTTACTGTTACTAATGGAAACCACCTTTGAAAAATTGACAAATTCTGGTGGATTAATATTTAAAATGTTCAAGAAAAGCAACAAAAGGTTATTGAATTAAATGTTTAATAAATTACAGTGAATTTATACCATTTTATAAGACAAGTCAAACATATCAATACACCTATTGGTTACAGTTTAATATTGGTGTGTGCCCGGACATTTTTGACACTTGTATTATTTCGCAGGTCTCAGAGCAAATACCTGATGTATGACTTAATGTTTTCATACAGGGTACATTCAAGCTTCCCGGGCGCTGATGATCGCCTCCATTGTGTTTGGGACGTTCGGCCTTGTGGCGTCTCTTGTGGGGATGCAGTGCAGCAAAGTGTGTGGAGAAAACTATGTCCTGAAAGGGAGGATTGCGGCAATCGGAGGGGTGTTCTTTTTACTCCAAGGTAAAAAGGTCTTAGAAAAGAACTCAAAGTACTCAAACGTGATAAAAGGGATAAATAAAATGTTTTGTCCCCAGGGCTGAATAACCAAAGAACAGTGTTAAGAGAGCTCAGCCTAACCTCTTCACATTGAACACTTTGCTAGGTAAACATGTCGGGCGCTCCAACCTTTGTGTACCGAAGACAAGCTATCAGTAAATAGTTGATCTTTTGAAAAGGTTATCTTGCTCCTAATAGAACTGTCTGTTCACAGAGGACCTTTATTAACACTGGTCTGTGAATTGTTGAAATAAAGGTGTCGAATTCTAGGTCAGTGTTGGTAGAAAGGGCAAATCAAGCTTTAGCTTAAACCTCCTATTTAAAGACAGCAAATCAAGGAGGAAACCTTGAACGTTAAAATTGGCTTATTTTGGGGTTGGAGTTTGTTTTTCTTTATTCTGGGTGAAAAAAAAACACACTTTAAAAATGCCTTTAAAAGTGGGGTGTTTGATAGTAAAAAAAGATAATTAGTTGTTACTCTTTTCCTGTCGGCCTTTGACCGAGGCTAATAACTAGTGTTGCGCCAACGCCATTTTTTGGCCCAGATACCCGAACCTGGCTGTGCAGTATTGGCCGATACCGATACCATCTGTTTGAAATTGATGTGTGTGTATATATGAAGAACTGCATACTACTTGGATGTAAAATAATTGCCATCATGGCTTTGTCAAACTGCAGCTTACCTTTGTGAAGCAGGAAAAAGTCTATGGTAATACAGTAGAACTTTTTATAGCCTACCTGGAATGGGTGACAATAGTTGAATAAACTTTTGGCTCTCAAAATGGTATCGATGCCCTATTTGCTGGTACTCACCTATACCGATACCACCATTTTAGTGCTGAATCAGGGCCCCGCCCGATACTGGTATCGGTGCAACACTAGTAATAACAGAAGTTAGTATCAGATTCACAGCTTATCATTAATAGTAGTGATGTCAGATGGCTAAGTGTGCGAGCCACTACTGGTGTTTGACAAAGGTTTATTGCCTATTTGTCTATTCAGTCCATGAGAGTGAGCGCCACCCTCTGCTCTGCACAGTGTGCCTTGCTAATAACGGCAAGTCTGGTACCTTATTTCTTATTTTTATCAGATGATAACTTGAAAGGCCCTAAATTTATTCTGAAACTCTGACTGACTTTCACGTTGCCACCAAAGAAAAAAAGTGGATATGCAATAACTTACGCAACACTGCTTAACCTTCATCAAAGTATCAGCTTAGTTTGGGAAATTTTACATGATTTCTCTGGTCAATATTTCACATTTGCCCTATATGAACTCACCTAGAAGTAACGTGAAAGAGGCCCATTTCTCGCTGAATGAGTCCTGTGACCCAGAGCGCCGCTTTACAGCAGTTTGAGTGCAAGACATGTGAGCTAACTAAGCTGAAAGTTGCTCTTAGCCAACAAAACAGATATGACTCCTACCTAATCAGACATATTTTTTGGTTCTCTGATGTAGGATTTAATCTAGAGGGGTAAATGAGGCCTTTTCTTTACAAGAAACTCCATGTTCGCTAAAAGTTACAGTGTTGCTTTAAAACAACATTACAGTTGTCTAATCATACTGACACCTGTGGCCAAGACACAGAACTGCAGGATTCTGCGGTTTGTTCTCGTAGAACCCGCTAATACTTAGAACAGAATAATCTGCTAAAAAGAAGAGGTTTTACTCATAGACATACTCCGGGTATACTCCTGAGAACTGGACAGAACTATTTAATATGGTCAGTGTTATCTTGTATTACCTTCTCAGTAGAAACAAAGCCATTTGAGGGTTCCTTTTTATTCCAAACTTGTCTCCAAGCTCCCTCCAAGACCTTAAATGCACATCCAGTGTTGACCATTGTCTTTCCCTGGAACCAGTCGCTCTCAAGCTTTCAATCTTTTAAAGGCACTAAATAAGTTTGACATTGTTGTCCAAGTTGAGCTGAATGGCTTCTGCGTATCTACAAAATCCCTCTTGATTAAAAGGCTCCAATCATTTGTTAGATCTGACCATTTTAACATGCACACAACGTTACTTCCACCGAGCCACGCAGTAACTTCCAAAGTACATTCAGGGAAAATAGGCTTACAGATTCATTGGCGCTGAACTACTGAGGTGTCAGTCTGCTGATTAAACAATGTTTTAGTCATAAAGGGTAAAATAAAAAGGATGTTTTTTACTAAACACTTCCAAAATGTCCCTTTAATAAACTGGTGAAGATTCTCAGTCATCCAGGTCATAGTCATTCCAAAAAAAAGGTTAAAAAAAAAAAAAAAAAAACTTTCACTTTTGTTTCCAAGCTTGAAGAGGTTTCGCTTCCCATCCAGGAAGGTTTTTGACACTTTGAATTGAAAAATCTTCCTGGATGGAAAGTGAAACATCTTCAAACTTGGAAACAAAGTCCAGTGGATTGGGTTTTTTTTACTTTTTTTGGAGTCTCTTTAACCTTTTAAAGCCAATTGCATCATATTTGAAGTTTTTGTTGTTGAAACACTAACTTAAATATTCAGACACATGTAATGAACAGAAAATGTATAAAATATTATATTGAATTGCCTAATGTATCACATTTGATGCAAATAAATGATCTAATTTACATTATACAACATTTTTCAGAAAGTTTAATGACAATCTAATTTTTAAAAATGTCAATGTTCTTTTAATTATTTCATGGTTAAGGCTTTAAAGCAGGGGTCTTCAACGTTTTCTAATCTAAGGACCCCCAAAATGATGGTGAGATGGAGTGGGGACCCCCTAATTATATATATTGTATGAAATTGTGTTCTATCAAATTGATCCTATAGTCACTCTATTACAGATGGAGTCATGTAACGAAAGTAATTTCTCCCTGGGAAAGTATTTCTGATTTCTGGTTGATGGGACAGGTGTTGTGAATGAAACGGTGCCCAGTTTGAAAGAGCTCCTGTGTGTCGCTGAATGTGTGCATTGATGACTGAAAGACATCTTCGGCCTCCATTTATCTGTTTACTACTGTTTGTTGAATTAATTTGAATGTGTACTTAAATCAAATTATTTCAATTAGTAGAAAAAATTGCTGGGGGGAATATAAAAAAAAGTCTAATAAACCAAAACTTTCGCGACCCCCATGCAGTACCTCTGTGGACCCCCTAGGGGTCGCAGACCCCCTGTTGAAGACCTCCGCTTTAAAGGGTTAATAAACAAAATAGATTGAGGTGTGTATGGGTTGGATCTGGAGCCAATTTGCGTACTCTTAAAAAGCTATTAAAAAACTTTCATTTATTCTAGAAATATGTAAACTTGTTATCCACTTTTGTTCTAGGCCATTTTTTTTATTATGTATCAAGTACCTTCATTTACATGAAAACATTTTCCAGCAATCACTAGAACCATTTATTTGCCGCAAGTGTGATGTTTGTGTGTTTAACAATCATTAATATGCCTAAACAGAAACTTTTGTGTTTCCAAAGGGCTTTGCACCATGATTGCCGTTTCTTGGTATGCAGCCAACATCACCCAGGAGTTCTTTAATGAACTTTATTTAGGAACAAAGTAAGTTAACAAGAACATTACACGTCAGAACAACAGTTATATCCAGTTTACCTTGGAATAAGCCAAAGATAAGGAAATATGAGATAAACTATCGTGTTACAGGTATGAGATTGGACAGGGTCTGTACATCGGTTGGTCGTCTGCTGTACTTGCCATCTGTGGAGGTTCCTGCCTGTTATGTGCTTGCAAGCTGAACTCTCCTAGTGAAAAGATGTGAGTATCTGTCCTTGCATCGTGTAGCGCACTTTAAAAGCCAGTGTTGAGCCGTATTTTTTTTCTTTTAGATCCTACCCGTACCAGCCAGCCTCCAGGGGACATGTTCTGTCAACTGTGGCAACGTCTCAGTCTGCACCGAGTAATTATAACAGGAACGCGTATGTGTGAGAGTCCTCCAAGGAAAAGCCACTTCAGCAGATCCTTTCTTTTCCTTTACCTAACATAAAGGTTTAAATCACTAAGAAATTACAGTGTGAGTAATTAATGGAAATTGATTTTAAGAATTCACTGTAAACTGTATCAGATATTTTATCCCAAGCAATGCGTTACAAGATTTTTAATGTTTAAACTGTTACTGCAACTTAACTTTCCTTTTCTGTACTTAGATGATTTGTACTCAATAACAATCAGCAGGCTTAAAGATTGATAATCCTGTACTTTTTATACGACTAGAAGCGATAAAGTTATCTGAATAAAGAATATGTGATCATGTTAATTACATGTTAATGTAAAAATTGTTTTTAAGTTGTTTTTCAAATTAAAAAACATATATTGTACCTGTTCCATTGTAACATTTTATCTCCCTAAAAAAGTCAAACAGATGAAAACCTTGGAAGGCTACGGATCAGAGTAATGATCCACATTAATGTACCGGTACACTGCAAGGATTACTAACATAAGGTTTGGTAGGGCTGGTTGTTAAGTGTGTTCAATAAATAAACACAACTGATGGTGATCAGAGGGCTCAGCGGCACTAGTGTGCGGCAGCCTTGCTTCTATCAGTGAGTTATATAAGTGCAAGCCATTTACCATTCTTTTTCTGTATGGAATAAATGTCTTGATTCATGTGTAGTATGTAACAAGCTAAGACAGAGATCCCCCATCAACATTAAGAAGGCAAGGCACCTTTTCCTGAATAAGAACCATGGTCTTGGACTTAAGGAGCTGATCACCAGTAAGCACTGAACTGAGAACTACCCAGATACAGCTGAGGCTTGTATCACGAAGCAGGACTACTGGGTTAGCAAGAAAACTTCAGATTTAACCTTGACTTTCTGGTACCATAAAGGTGGATTCATTCTTATACCAATTTCCCACTGGCTGAAAAACCTGTTTCAAGCGGGGGACAAGTGACTTTTATTGGCAGCGGGAAGAGCTAACTGACATGTGTCTACTTGGGTCAAACGACTCAGCAAGCTACCCACGTTTAAATCGCCTCAGTTCTGATCGGCATGCTATGAACCACCAGAGCCAGGTTGACCCACTTAATTATGTGATACCATTGAACGCAACATTCGGACATAGGCACACCGCGGCAGTTGCTTCTGAACTTACAAGCCGAAACAACTCTGCTTACATTCCATAAACATGGAGCAGCTATGGTGAGAGGGATTCAGACAGATAATAGAGTGAAACAATAAAGCACACTAATTCCTTGGCTTCCTTACATATTGCTCTCCATTGTTTACTCTCCTGATTTCTGTCGCAGTATTGACATCATCAATGCTTACAGAGCGTGATGGTGTCACACAGCTGCCAGCGAGGGGTTAGACCAACTTAATTTGCCAGTGGGAAGGGAGCCAATTAGCGATTGTTAGCGAGTCGACCCATGTTTGAAAAACACGCTTTAACCTGATATTTTCAGAGGGAAAGAGGCTTTAGTGAGGCTAGTCACCATGGTCCAGGGCAGGCTAGCTTTGAGGTGTTCAGTAAACAATGAAGTGTCGTTTCATTGAAGACACTATTTAATTCTGAGGGGGAAAGAACTTAAGCAAAACATCACAAAAGGACTTTTAAACCAAAAAGCAGTTAAAACAAGATACTTCCTTGACTAATCAAATAGTTTAAAATGTCTTTTTTTCCCCCTCCTTTTGGACATACACGACCAACTTTTAACTATTCTAAATTAGCTTTCTCCTGTATAATGTTTTTTTTTAATTGTCAGTGTGTTTTTAAACACTTCTGAAATGTATTTGCTTCTTGTAAAAATGTTATATAAAGCTAAATTAAAAAATGATGAAATAACAATCAGTGCACAAATTGTGAGAGGATCCTTTGGAACACAATGACAATTATATGAGGGATACAGGTTTTCCATGGGCCGGAGTGGCATATATATGCCGGATCCCAGAAACGTGTTGTCTGTATGACCCGCAGGAGTGAGGCTTTAACTGTATCAAAGACTGGATGTATGGCTATGCGATATTAGACAACTGGCACTTTCATGTACGCTGTCAGTGATGCTAAGCAGCTCTGGAAAAATATAGTCTGTAGAGCTGTCAGTCAAGTATCCAATGCCCTGATGCAGTTGATGAATGAACCGTTTTTCCTGCATGGCCTCTTACCTGTACAGCATATAAAAAAGGATTTATGGCATTGCAGGCAAGTCAATAGCTGTATTTCTAAGAATCTTTTTTCTTGTTTAGTGTAACAGTATAAATGAGAAAGGGAAATGTTAGACTAAAGCTGCACTAATCAAGGATTGTTCTAAATCAAAAATCAGACTTTTTGTATTAATATGATGCAATTGTTGCATTAGCTTCTAGCTTTATTGTAGATCAAATATTAATGAATTAAAAATTCCAACTAACCAGATCAAAAGTTTTATTGTTTTATTTTTATCTGCTCCCAGGTCCTCTTATTTCCCGAGGGGAACGCAATTAATATAAAGTAGTTATTGGGATGCAAAAAATTGGCTGATGTGCAGCTTGCGAATTTACAGTCATTCTTTTGTCAAACCATTTGGCCATCTCTTTGATTCTTCCTATGTGTTTGACTTTTTATTGAGCAAAGTTGCTTTAAAAACCTTTTTTTTTTTATTAAGAGATTTTCAAAGCAACTTTAATGGATAACAATTCACTCCACATTTGCTGTGCGACATTAAAGAGTTCTCGTTATCTATTATATTCTGATTCTGCTAAACAATATACACATATATGACTGTGAGGTAATAAAAAAAGGATAGCAAAATAAAAAAATAATTCACTTGGGCAGCAAATTTTAAATCAATATTTATAACAGCCATTTAATTAGCCACTTGATGTAGCAGCATTTGCAAACATCTGTTGGTGAAAACCTGGATAAATCAAACGTGGAATTCTTTAATTTATCTATATTTCAGAAATTAAAGTATGGAGTAGTTTAATTATAGATCTTTAGGAGCTTCGTTTGCTAAATTTTCCAGGTTCTGTCCATCAAAGCGAATGAAGTGCCAGCCTTCGCTGACAGTCAGATCCTGAGCTCCTTTAGCAGCGTAGAAGTCTCTAGAGGGAGTGTTCCAGTCGAGCACCGACAGCTGCAGCCGCACACAATCCTTCTTTCTTCCCACCTGGTTAAACACAAAACTCAACAAATTAATCATGCCATGAATCCCATTACAACAGCTGGCTCCTCTCTCGAGCAGATTAAGCAGCAAAACTAATCTGTATGAATCAGAGGTGAGTCAGGAAATAAAACAGACCTCAGCAACTTTGCACAATAATCCTTTCCCAATGCCGTTGCCTATCACAGAAAGAAAAAAAATATATTCAAAGGTGAAATTTTAAAGAAGAAAACTACATATTTAAGACCTTATGTGAAAAAGTTATCTTTAACCCTCTGTGAGTTCACTGAAACATTTTATACCTCTGAATTCTGGCATGACGTACAGATCTTCCAGAAACACCGATCGTCCTCTCCATGTACTGTAGGTGTAAAAGTACAGCGCGTATCCAACCACTGTACAGCCTAGCAACAGAACATAAACTTTGTTATATTATTACCAAAACAGAAAAAAACAATCTTTAGGACCTTAGATTCTGATTTACCTTCTTTGGATTTATGCTCCTCAGGAACTTCTGCAACGAGGCATTCGAAAAAGGGATTCTGGCAGAAACCGTCACGCTCCAGCTCTAAACTCACACAAGGATGGATTAGAAAACAAACTCCTTTCATTTCCCATGCTGATCTTTTTACATATAGGCCATTAATAAATAATGTTTTGACTGGTTAAAGTTAGTTTTAAAGGTGCATAGTCACATTATTTCCCTCAAGTGCAGAATTTTATTTCCGAAAGCTTACAGCATCCTGCTGTAGTATTATTCATTATTACTGTGTTGTACGTTTTGTTTTGGCTCGATTTGTCAGTAAACAAAGGCCTTTATATATATTTATAGTAACAATGCCCGATCAGAGGTACAATATTGCGCATGTGTGTGATGAATAAGGAATAGATAGATCAACTTTATCTCTATAGAACATTTAAAAAGTGGAGGCGTAACCAAAGTGTTGTACATAAAAACAAGGTTAAGAAGAAATTAGGGCTGCAACTAACGATTATTTTTGCAAAACGATTAATCTGTAGATTTTTTTTTTATATTAATTGATTAATAATCGGACAGTAAAATGTTCCTTGAGAAAGGAAGCGGGTCGCTCTGTCAGCTAAAGGCATGTTTTAGAGTCTCTATTCTCCATTTAAAGATTAATCGAGTACTAAATTAGTTGACGATTATTATAATAACCGATTAATCAGATTCATTGTTTTAGCCCTAGAATAAATAAGATTAAAATAGATATAATAACCAGGTTAACAACAGGAGTCGTGCCGTACAAAACTAGATCAAAGGGATAAACCTGAGGAATAAAAATTAGTTTTTAAAAGTGATTTAAAAACAGCAAAAGAGATGGAAGTATTAGGCTAAGCTAGTTAGCACCACCAATCAACAACAATGCACTTTCCCGAAGATTATCATATGTATCTGGTTAAAGATTAGGATGTTTTTAATGATTTTATTGCACATTTTTCTTCTGATGTTTTTTATGATATAAAACACTTTCAATTTCTTTTTCAATGAAATGTGTTTTACTACATTTTTCCTTACCTACCTGGGAAACAACATTTAAATGCCTCTAATTTGATTTCATTCCAAAGAGAAACCCTTTAGCCTATGACCTTTTTTTAAAGTTTAACTGAAATAGTTCTTACCATGATGCTGTTGACCTGTTTAAGTTTGTTGGAAAGTTTCTTTTCTCCTTGATTTTCTGACTGATGCTCAGAGGAAGATAGACTAGAAGTTAAGAATTTCTGTAGATCAGTTTATTTCATTCATACTTGCTGGTCTTTGAGCACAACAAGCTGCCGCTTTTCCATCCAGGACAGCCAGGCTCTATTTGCATCAATTGTCGCCATCTGGCTTTAAATTGTTCTGTCAGCAGATGGCGCCACATATATTTGTGTCTGCTCATTGCACTTGGTGCTGGAATTCTATTCTATTATTTCCGGGTGGATCATCTAAATAAGTGGTCCTCCTAACTGTCAATCATTCTGGTGATATGTCCTATGTGCTCGTCCAGTTAGCTATCTTTTTCTGCGCATGCGCACTTTCAGGCTTGGATCTGTGGTAAGCTACGTTTTCAACCAGTCATTGAAGATCACCTTCCTCACTGAGGTTCTTTGAAAATGGCCGAGGGTCCTAGGAGAAAAAGTGTCTAAGAAGTGTATGAGAAGAAAAGAAAGGAGAGGCAGATATATCCCAGAATGCTTTGAACGAAGAGCTCTCCTTACAAAGCATTCTAGGAGTTTCTGTCACAGCAGTCCGCTGTCACCATAAGCTGCTGCTTCACGACAAAGGCGACTAATAACAAAGATGGCGCAGGCACTGCACGGAGGTAGAGGAGTTACATGACCAACGGGGCAAAGAGCAGTGAACATCTGTCCAAACGCTCAGTTAACTGAGTTTGCTATAAAGTCCACTATATAGACAGCTGTGTATGTGGACACACTAAGCTTGTATGAGCTATGAGAACAGCACATTTTAAACAGGTCGAGGAGAAAGAGGCTCGTGCATGCTTTTGCAATAAAAATAATGCCTAAAGGGAAATATATTAAAAGTTTCACCAATCAGGGCGCAGCCAATTGGAATCAGCCAGCAGTTATTTTTCCCATTTTATTTTTCATTAAATTCATAAAAACTATTATTTATTTATATACACTTAGTCAATTTTATTGTACTGTACAAAATATGATTGTCTAGTAGCTTTAAGTGCAGGAAATGAACTTGGCAAGATGTATAACCAACAGAGAGTAACCCAGATAATCACTAAACAATCTGGATTTACTAAACACTAAACAATTAATGAGGTTTACTGGATAAAATATGCATTTCTACTGTTGTTTTAGCTTTATTTTTTTCTTTTTCTCCAGTTACTTCACTTAAACCAGCTAAACATTCACTAAATCTCCATTGGTGCTGTTTGGTAACATTTGCTATAATATCTAACCTCACAGGCTGCATGCTTTCCACCATTGCAGCAGCTCATAGGGCTGCTTTTTGCCTTGCAAATTTTGGGCCAGAGCTTGATATAAAGATCAGATAAGGTTTTAGCCACCACATTTCAATGGATTTACATAGATCATTTCACACATTTTCATATTTAAGCGATGGGAATGATAGGAGGTTCAAAAGGACGACAACAATTCTAAAAAAATTCATAACTTATCAGATAAGTGATCAGATTCTTTGATATGATGGAACTCCTGAACATGGGTGATGGCGACACCTACTGGCTCATCTATGCCACTGCACCCTCATGAATCTTATTTGATGTAAATTTGAACTTTAATTCCTAAATCGGTTCATAATCATAGGGCATTTTTGAGAAACTAAAAATTAAAACAGTATTCCTATATTTATCAAAAGGAGAATATATTTTTATTTCATACCATTTCCCCATTCCAGTAGGTCAGAGTTCATTACCTTTATGAGAGATCTCCACCTGCTCAGACATTTTCTCATAAACCGCCAGCTCCTGAGAAATACAGAAATAAAACCAAGTGGCTATAAATAAATCAAAATGCACCAATGAGAAGCTAAACTATAAATGATTTCATAACTTTTAGCCCTGGAAACGTTGGAAAGTAGCGGGTTTAGCTCGCTGTGACAGCGACTCACCATGATCATCCTCGATATTTCTTTGCAGTCTTCCTTTGTTGCAGCTCGTACTCTGAAATTCATGACTACAGCAGTAGATACCTTCTGCACAAATCAATACAGCTAACTCCTTTCATTCAAAAGAAAAAAAAAATCAAACAAACAGGAAATAGATCTGATGCGTAGAGCTGTCTTTTCAAAATAAAATGCCTGCATGTAATAAAACATTACAGTTACCTATTAACTTCTTTATTTGTTCCTCGGGTTAAAATCACTCATCTATATTTATTCACTGGATTGCTGATTGACCGAAAAGGGGAAGCTACAGGCCGCCATACTGGTGTACCCCACTCCCACGGAGATGAGAAGAAAGCTATTGAAAGCCTGTTGGTACAGTATTTCTATCACTTATACAACACGTCAATGTACTAAGCTATGGAAATCCTTTTTTTTTTTTCTTATTGAAGAATCAAAGTATTACAAGGCATATCTATGGAAGCCCGTTTCCACCACTCTGTAAAAAAAATATTATCTCATTATAATTATTTATTTATTTATTTATTATAATGATAGATTATAATGAGATAGTAGCTCATTATAATGAGATGTTAACTCAATCTCATAATGGATGGCATTATGAGTGACTATATTATAATTAGTTTTTCAGGTAAAATTATAATTTGTAGTATGACTTACTTTATATTTCATTGAAAACATATGATGATGGTCTTCTGTATCTTTTCTTCCAGTGTATGATCACAGAAACAAGGGCCTGAGTGATTTCCTGAGAGAAAGGAATATTCCAGAGGAAACTATCGAGACCATGCTGAAAGAGAAGGTACAAGCTGAAAAAAAAAATCAGCACTTCAGAAACTACAGTTTTTTTAAAGCATGTGTCTAGCAATGTTATCTAATTTAATTAAAATAATTTGCATGCAATTCTAGTTTTTGTAGCTTTAAATAAATAATTTTTTATTGTCTCATTGTAATGAGTTACTATCTCATTATATTGAGTTACTATCTCATTATAATGAGATTATTATTATTTTTTTTTTTTTACAGAGTGGCGGAAACGGGCTCCCATACATATGATACAAAGTTGTAAATTGAATATCTTAAGAAGCTGAGCAGAGTATGTTTAATATAACAAATAGAATCATACAGAGAATCTATATACAATTAGAAAACAAAAACAACAGATCGTAGAACAGAGTAATTGAATAAAAAAAAAGTAACTTGAATTTTAAAGTAAATTCTCAATATATTGCATCATTGTTTGGGCTTTAGGGCTTTTACAATCGGTTAGTGCTTCTTTTAATAAAAGTATCTCACTTATAAAAATATTGAGAGATGGGGTAATTTTTTTGAAATCGACACTTATGTATCCAAGGAAATCCATATATACGCCGATGTGTCCTATAGTATAGTACCAGGACTTATGGCAAGCCGTTTTAAAATAAATTCTGTTATAACACCTTTACATTTAAGATATCTCAAATTGTTTTATGACTAGACGTTTTAGCGATTTAAGATATTTCTAATTATATTTTGACTAGACAAAATACCTATTCGAGATATCTCTAATTTCTGACTAGTCGAAATGACGTCAGATTTACCATAAACTTGTATGGAAATACACATTTCTGATATCTACGATTAAATTATGACTAGTCATAAAGTAATTCCAAGATATCTCGATTTTAGTTTTGACTAGTCATAATTCTGATTAAAGATATTTCAAATGTCACCATAATTCATGATACCCATCATGAATTATGGTGAATTGTTTGTTTTTCTCATTTGAAAAAGTCCTGTGCTGAAATATATTGCACGTTATATTGACGGGAAAAAATTTTTTTTAAAGGATAATGCACAGACACAGTATAACAGTGCATGGCATCACGTATGCCCGATTTGCAAATAGGAAAATACTACAGCAATAACAGAAATGTACTTGTAAAATCTTGCAATCATATGTAATAACCAAAAAGATGAAATCGATACATGTATATTACATTTACATCATCAATTTATCACTTTTGGCACATCAGTATTATTATGCTCCATTAACACATTCATTTTGTCGTGATAGATTTGTGTAATATATTACCTGATTCTGAGACTTCATTGACTTCATACACACTATGCAATGTGATGTGCCCATTTTTTTATTATAAGTTAAATAATCTACTTATGCTACGAAACAGAAAAGTGTTTATCAAAGTGATTAATTTAACTTTAGTTTAAAAGTCTTAAGCCTCCCTGAAAATGAGAAAATCATCATTGTTCGATGCTGTAGTGAACATTTTGTGTACATTGTGACCGGTCTAACTAGGGAGTACCAATATGGCGGACGGTGGATTCACTTCAACCCCGTACTACCAATGGGCTATCAGCAATCCAGCGAATAAAGATTAGCGGTTAAAATGGAGAACTTGACTTTTGCCGGTTTCCGCAGTTTCCTGCCATCTTCCTCTCTGGTTATCTGTAGACCATCAGGGTTTTTTTAAATGTGTGATTTTAGGCAGTTTTTACTCTTACTCTGGTTGTGTATCTTTACTTCTCTATGTCCTATTTATGTAAAACGCTGTATATGTTTTTTATGTATGTAGTAGTTTCTGTCACAGGTCATACTGTTTATTTCTTTCACAGGTGATCATGTGATCACTTCACTGCACAAGCCTACCAACTGTGTCATTTTAACCAACACTCAAGCAGACTGACCAAAATTTGCCACCCCCCTGATGGAGGCCCTTCATGCTGAAATGCGTTGGGATGTTTTTATGACATCAGCCATGTACGAATAAGGATTTTTAATAACTTTCCTCCAGAGTGCCTCAGATCTCTTCTAAAAATTCAGACGTCTTCATTAGCACGTTAAACCTCTTCACCTCCTCAACTATATGGCCAAAATGAAAAGCTCTGTTTTAATTATGACTTATTTAACATTTAGTAAGTGCAGTTTTTGTTGTACTACATGCATTATGTTTCATACTAAAAGCTTGTGATGGACTGATAAATCAACCAGCCCATATTTTGGGCCGATTAGCACCTCCTCTTATTTCTGCTAATAAATGCGTGTATTTTTTTTTTTTTTTTTTATCTTTGAGTTTGTCTTGTGTTGTGGTGATAATTGTGTTTTATAATCTGCTCAAATGACCTATACAGCGCTTTGATTTTAGCTTTGGCTGACTGAAAGCGCTTTATAAATAAAGTTGAGTTGAGTATTCGCTGGTTCAGCACCGCATTAGGCAGCCATGCCTTGAGATCACATGAAGGGCATGCTTTCATGCTCCCTCCATCTGCTAACTGTTGTTCATGTTTTGTCTGATTTGCGAATAAATGTTCCTGTCCTGTATCAATTCAGATTTATTGTGCGATTTTATACTGAAAATTGAGACAAAGACAAAGCTTCAAAAATTCATCATCCAAAAAACTTGCAGCAGTCATCAGGGATCAGTTGGACTGATGTTAAATAATCAGTATCAGCACTGGCCTTAACAAAAAAAACACACAAAAAAAAACCGGTTGATCTAATGACTAAAAGGAATTTCACACACAACAATGTGCAGGATTTTATACAAAATCAGATTTATTTTAGCGTAAAAAAGACATGAAATCAGTTAGAATATGAGCTGAAAGGCTGATGATTTCACAAACTGATCAGCTTTCATTGAGCATTAAGATATTTACAAAGTCTGGCCATGTTCGCTCTATTAAGTCAAGAGTTCAAATAATTCTGTCCGCTCTAAATTCGACCCATTTAGGTTCAGTCAAAGACAAACCCGGACATGAGAAGGATCTTCTCCTGCTATGCTCATATCAGTGTGGGGACTGGGTGCTTGCTGCAGGGGAATCGGAGCGTTCCATTTTCACTCCGTCGACTGGAGTTGAGGAAATTGAGGTCGGTAGCACAGAGGTCTTGGTCTCCAAGGAGGAGGCAGACGAGGGAAGAGACACAACGATGTACTTCTGCAGAGGCCGCGAAGCCGTGAGTCCAGGGCCGCTGCCGGGCTCTAGTTTTACCAAAGGCTGCAGTGTGGAAGTGGCACTGGGAACGGTGCTGGTTACTGGTGAGGCTGACTGGGAAGAGCTGAGGGTGATGACCTAAAGGAAAGATGGTGAGAGAAGTAAGTTACCTGATGAACAGTAGGACAGGATTTTAATACAGAAACGGTTAAAAAAAAAGGTCAATGTGAAGGAAATTTGAAATAGTATCCAGTAATTGAATTTCTTTATGTTTGTTGGTCAATTTAAGTTTTAAGGACTGTTTTTTTTTTTTATTCCATTTCAAATCTTCCAGAGCTCCTATTTTCAAATTTAGGTAAATTTGTTATCAGAGTTTCGAACACAAATATAATTTAGAAGGAATTGGGAGAAAAATCATAACCGGGTAAGAAAAAATTCCAAATAAGATTTTTCTTTCGTCATCATAAAATATAACAATTTATTATCAATTTAACAAACAACAAGTAAAGCCCTCTGAGAGCACAGACCTCCTCCAAGCAGCAAATTGTGACTTATCAGAATCAGAATTAAGTTATTGCTTAGTAGGTTTGCACTTACAAGGAATTTGACTTGGTGTTGATTGTGCACACACATTATATATATATATATATATATATATATATATATATATATATATATATATATATATATATATACAGAATCTATAGTCATTTACAATATAAGCATATAATATACTATACGTAATATTTAGTAAATAGCTATATACTATATACACAGTAGACTGTGCGTTAATGTCTATAGCTAAAACTCACTCATAATCTGGATCGCTACCAAACTTCAATTAATTGTTTCGCTGGCATGAGACTAACTTGTGAAAGAATATCCATACAATCCATTCATATTATTTCAAGTTATGCTGTACATAGACAGACAGACTCTCCTTTCCTAAAAGCATAACCTAATAGCTTCTAAATATATATAATCTTTTCTATGAGTTTAAAACATGGAGATATAAAACTGAACTTGCAGGCTCTTCCTTTATGGAAGAAAGAATGATCCTACCTTTGCTCAACAGACACTGAAAGACCTTTTCCCTTTTACAATAATATACCTATTTAAATAAGGCTTTAAACTACAAGAGTTGTCGAAGAAACAAACAAAAAAAAAAAAAAGGACACCAGGTTCTCGCCATCTTAATTTATTTTAGTGGGTCGCAACGTTGAAACTGTTT